TCACTTCTATGGAGTCGTTCATATTTTGGTTGAAGAACAACTGACGAAAGATCGTTTAATAATTGATCCATATGAATATAAACTGATTTTATCTGGAATAAAAAGCTAAACAAACATTACATACAATTTCTCTTCTTTTATGATTTTTGAAAGTGCGTGAATGAAGAGAAGATTCGTCTAACTTCACACCTCAGATATGCCAAGGTTTATAGTATGAGTAGTGATGGAAAAAACTAACGACAATTCACATACTCATGACTACACGTTATTTATCTCGTTTTCCGTATAATACAGGAGAGCGAAAAAAAGAGAAAATTTCTCCTCCAAATAACGCGATATATCAGTCAAGAAATGAATGACTCGTCGCTATTTCGATTATAATTATTATATATGAACAAGCAAATGTTTACTTACGCCTTACCGATATAAAAATAAAATAATCTATTGCAGAAGGAAAAATAAAAATGTTGATAAAAGAGAAAAAAAACTTTTTCGTGTTTCAAATTACAACTGAGTAAGAGAATATCTTGAAAAGAATAACAAAGGTATATGATGATCATAAATATTAGTCATTAAGCGAACAATTAATTTCAAGTATCTTCAAAGAGAAAATATCATTGAGATTCTTTTACAAAATAATTTCTTAATGATCAAATATAATAACAACGTTGACCTTATAGATTTTAGTGTAATGTAATATTCCATTTAGAATTAACTTCTTTAGAAATTTCATCGACAAGCTCATGAAACACTGCACAATATTATGTTTTTATCCTCATTTTCAAAAGGAAATTCATCGAATGATGAATTACCAAAAAAAGATATTTTCATTATCGTTCAATGAATGTAATTGGAGCATAACAAGTTTTGTTATAGTCGTCTACTTAATCAGGAGTGTACCGACGTATCGAAGACAGGGAGGATACAGCATAAATTCTTCTTGACTTTTTCACGCCCATCAGAGATACGCGTCCCCGGTCGTTACGCCCTTGTTTCGTAAATGATGAATTATGACGACGTTCGCAAAAAACTAAACATAGGATTTGTGATCATTGACCCCAATTAGTTTTCATTTAAAATTTTCAGACTTCGAACAGTTTTCTCTTCTTTTTGACTATTGTACAAATATGCGATTTTAATTGAGATTAATAATTATAATTTATGAAAATCTCATTTACTATTACAACGATATCTTTTTAGTTTCTTTTACCGGAAAAGGAAATCTTTTTTATAAAAACAAAGATAAACGATGTCCATCGAACCTCTTTTAACATTACTTATTGCAATTCATTTTCTTCATGGAAATGAGATTTTATTTTCATCGTACAATAATTTTATATTTTTATCAACAGTTAAAACGATTTACAACATCAACATCAAAATCTGATATTGATCGAATATGTTGAATGATTCAACCTGAAAACATCGTTTCTCATTTAACTAAAACGATCATGGAAAAGACTTAATATTAAATGATGAGAAACAATTGAACAGATGAAAAAGAAATATTCTCATTCTGAACCATCACATTGTGTGATATTTACCGATTTCAATGATGAAAATAAACGAGAATTTGTCGTATTTCATCCAAAAGTGATATATTTCTATCAGAATTCAGAATATCGAAGGTATATGACGACATCTGTCAATATCTATCGAAAATTCAAAGAATTTCAAATGATAGTGATAGAGTTTCGTATACAATGGGCATGAAATCTTTCGATTGACCTTTTTTCTATTCTTATATAATTAACGAGTAAATAAATCATTTAAAATCGATTAATTTTTCCAAGAATATGGATAAAGAAATATTCTCAACGATAATTCGACTTCCATTAAAATCTGTTCGTTGTCATTCATTAAAATTATCACCAAATGATTGGATAATGCCAACAGAATTTTATCGAATTTGTTGTGTATATTTCTATGATATTGAACAATGGTCATTTTATAAACAACAATTAAATGATGAATTTATGAATATTGATCGATTAATAAGAAGTTTAACTAAATTAATTGATTATTATCCTCTTCTAACTGGTACAATTCATATTGATGAAAATGATAAGAGTACTTCTATTTTATTTAATAATAATGAAAAACAAGGAATTTTATTTAAGGCAATATCAATGAATATTTCAATGAAAGATTTTTTCTTATTGAGAAATTCCAATGAATTAATAAATAAAATTGATCCTTTGACATTATTTCATATTCGTCATAGTCGATTTCATTGTGGTAGTGTTGCTCTTACTATTCAATTAAATCATTGTTTTGCAGATGCTCATTCATATTTTCAATTAATTCGACATTGGGTACAACTTTATCATGAAATTGATTTTGAACCAATTGTTTGTCATCAACGATCTCTTCTTTATCCATTTCAAAATAATATTCAAATCAATCAACCACAAATATTAACTATTAACAAAGAAAAAACCTTTTCATCAATAAATGAAATTCCTCCATCTATCGTGAAAATCTTTCGATTTTCTACTGATGAATTAGAACGAATGAAAAATGCCGGTAAAATCGATTTACCAATTGATATTGATTATGTTTCAACATTTCATGTTCTTTGTGCACATCTTTTTCGACATGTAACTCTTGCTCGTTGTTTATCTCCATCATCTTTAACAAAACTTTATATTTCAACCGATCTTCGTCCACGTCGTCAAAAACCAAATATTCCATCGAATTATTTTGGTAATGCCGCTTTATATTCTTATTTATCAACAACATCTGGAGATCTTATCAATAATGATCATTTATCATATTGGGCGGCACAAGTTCATCGAGCGATTGATATGACAATGGATGAAGAAATCGAAAATATTTTCAATTGGATTATAAATCAATCAGATAAATCAACTATTCGACCAACTTGTAATCCAATGACAAGAGATTTTCTTATAACAGCATGGAATAAAATGGGAATGTATTCAGATTCGGATTTTGAACTAAATCTTCATCCATGTCGAATTACTTTACCATTAATAGAAACAATGAATGGTGCAGCTATTTTATGTTCGACAGAGAAAAATGATGGTTCTATTGATGTTTTTCTTGGATTAGATATTAAGACAATGAACAATTTAGAAAAAGATTCAAATTTTAGAAAATATTGTTAAATATATATTCATTCTCTCATTTGACCAAAGCAGAAGTCAATGGTTTTTCTAGCTGATTTTGTCTAATAAACGAATTAATACATCGAACAAATTGCTATTGTTCAATTAGAGATATCTTCTTCTCAGCTTGTGTTGTCGATGTATCTTGACAATAAATTGATTCCATGTTCCAAATGAACTTTTCGTGTTTTCTTAAGTCAGGCCTACAAAACTTATTTGAAGTGCATACATATCGATGTCTTCCGAAGAAATACTCAAATGTCTTTGAATTTTAACTGATCATTGGACGGTNCGAATTAATACATCGAACAAATTGCTATTGTTCAATTAGAAATATCTTCTTCTCAGCTTGTGTTGTCGATGTATCTTGACAATAGATTGATTCCATGTTTCAAATGAACTTTTCGTGTTTTCTTAAGTCAGGCCTACAAAACTTATTTGAAGTGCATACATATCGATGTCTTCCGAAGAAATACTCAAATGTCTTTGAATTTTAACTGATCATTGGACGGTAACTACTCTTTAATTCAATCGGTGTGCCCTTCATGGTTGTCCTAGTGAATAGTTATTGGTGAAAACAATGAAATTTCGAATTGTGCGTGTATTCTCAAATTGTTTGAACGAGCGAGAATGTTGTGCATCAATAAAGCAACTCCTTTCATCTTTAACTCATTTTTAAATGGGTATCTATCATCGCGTTTCTATTCTATAGATATCATCAGAGCATTTCTTTCTGACGACGTATATTAGAAAGATGGCGCTGTCCACGTCCACTCTACAATAATGACCTGTTGACCAATGAGCAGTATCAGCGAAATTATTCCAGTGACGAAGAAACTTCTTTTTTATGTTATTATCCTTTTGTTCTTGGGCCACAAAGTGCTATAATCGTGTTTTCACGATCTATTTCGATTTCTTGCTATCTAAGTTTTAACTGCTTTCGACTCACTTTGCATTAAATTTTTCTGATATATGTGGCGCATTTGTCATCATAGCTACTCTGCCATGATTTCATATAGAGCAACAAAATAAAAGAAAGAATTCATAATCTTGGATACTGGACGATATATAGCTCTTCTATGATGTTTGTCAATTAACGTTCGCCCAGCGAGAGTCAAACATTAGGTAATATCTTTGAATATACCTTTTCATTAGCCATTTTTTCAAATAATCAATTCGACTGGTTCATTCGTGTTACTAAATATGATCTGCAACGAAAATAAACTGAGAATGAGAGTTGTAATAGGGATATTCACAAGAGTCGTGAGAGTGCTATATCGATGGATCAGTTAATAATACAAGCTAACTACATAGAACACAAAGAACTATACGATTGTATGAAATGCTAAGTACTATACAATAATACAATTAAATTCAACGAAAAAAAGAGATTTTGTTTATGTACCAATGTAGGTTTTCTTCAATTATGATAAGAATTATTGTCCATGTTTTTTTCAAAGTCTAAAACCATTTGCAACAATTCTTCGTCTGATATTTCAGATATTCTTTGAGTATTCATGGCTGCACTACCAATCATCATGCTTGCAGTAATAAACTTAGGTGCCTCGGTACCTTTTGTAACAGTACCTGAGCTTTGCTTTTCGTTTGGTACATACTCTGTCATTGTCCTTTTTGTTTCGTTTCCAAGCTCAATAGATGCTGATCTCTTAAGTGCACGTTCAATTATTGATACGTTTACCTGATATAGATATATCTATATAGACATACCAATCTATCACATCATGTTCTTACCTTATTATCAGCTGCAATACTTGAGAGTTGGGAGAAAATATTCATGTCGGATGCCGAGTCTATCATTACAAATTCAAAATCGATTTAAATCTTGAAAAATTGAAGAAATATGGAATAGCTACTTGATGATTGAGACATTTTGCAAGTGAATGAGCGATTACCGTGTGTAAAAGTGTGCTAGATAGATCTACAATAGATACAGTGTTATTTTGAGTATAATGACATTGACTTCAAGGAAATATTTAATTGTATTTCGGAGATATTAGTTTGACTAAAATCATCCATGGTTTTTATCGAAATCACGAAAAGAAAACCAGCATCAACATTAGTCCTGCTATATGCAGATTAACACACCGAAGTTTGTTAGAACGACAGAAAATGGTCTGACTTTTCGTGTTAAATTTGTATATGATTAAACTCCCGCTATACCGATTATCAATTGAAAAAAGTCCAATATCTTGCATAACTTAATAAGCAGTGATAAATTGTCTTCGAGTATTTATCTATTTGTATTCCAATAACTTTGGACTGATATTGAACATGAATTTTTCTTGAAGTCGAAATGCATCGATGTTCCGTGCGAAACTTCGATAACATTCTCTCGTAGCAGCGTATATCTCTCCTTCATCGTTAGTGTACTTTTTATATTCGAAACGGTATAAAGGAATCTCTTCCTCTTTCATCATTGATTCAAGATCGCCATCGAAAGCAATGGGTAGTAAAAGATCAAAACCTCGATTACAATATTTGCCTATACGCGTGCAGAGATGTTTCGGACTTTCAGCGTAGAGCGTATAGACGATAAATGATTGTGTTGCTAGCGCTTGTAGAAATGGCAGTGTAGAAACAATTTTATCTCCTACATAAATTATAAGCATATAGAAAAACCAGGACTTGCCCGAAAAAGAGAAACAAAATTACCAGTAAATGCCACCTGAGATATATCTATGTCAAAATTGTGAAGAATATGTGAAAGTGGCTGTTTCGAATCTCCTATAGATCTTGTAGAAAAGTTAAGTCTTACATAGCAGGGCAAAAACACGTTATAACAGAATGATCTTGGTACTTCTTCTACCCTTATCGTGTCTGTTGAGTTTTTCAAAATTATATGCTTTAAACGGTCAATAGTATTCTGTACTGTTGCTTGAAAATCAGATAGATTGTTTGTATAATAGATTAAGTTAACATCCTGGTCTTTGGTGTCTGGAAATGGCACTTTACACAAGGAGTTTAGAACGCATCCACCAGCGATGATAAACTTAGAAAAATCAATTGCTTGTAGCCATAGAAATGATGAGAAACGAACTGACATATTCATTTTAAATTCATCTATAGTGCGCACAAATCTCATATTCTTGTGCTCGCTTCGGTTTTCTACTGTAGGAAATGTTGTCTGAACTAAATTTGATTATGCATATACATTCTACACGTTACGTTTTTTCATTTCATCCGAAATATTTTACCTCTAAATAAGTTTTTCTCGTGACCGTTTAATGCTCGTTTCAAACCTATCGTCTGACTAAACCACTCGTAGTCAAGAAGCCCAAAATCTGCATTGTAGTAGGCGGTGTTCAGCGGTAAAAGACGACAATAGCATTGAAAAAGAGAAGTTCTATATGCTTCACACAATTTCGAAAATCCTTCTAAACCAAAACATGCGTGTATGTATAGACGTTCCGACGGCTGAGTAAAAAAAGAATAACGTGTTGGAACTATACAAAGACGTTCTTCGTCAATTTCACTATTGTTTCTGCAATAGTCCCATAGAGTATGTGGTAACATGATTCTCTCATAATTAGTAAACGTTCTGATTAATCTAATAAAATGATGATCGGGTAATTCTGCAATTGATCCGAATAGTTCACTACCATCTACTGCTTCAATAAAACTAATCGTGTCTAATGCATCAAGAAATTTTAATAAACGACCTCCAACAACTTCATCGCACCGGACGATTGTATTTTTGGACATTGTAGGTCAGTACTCAATCAATTTCTGAAGCTTGAATAAACGATATATCTATCTAGAAATATCTGAGAATATACATTCATTGTCAAATCAATCGATAATGACGCATCTGTTTAATCAATTGTTATCGTGCTTCTTTATGTTTCTTTTCTGCTTTCCTTTGATGCGATTTGTTTTCATTTTTTCAGCTTATCTTTTCCATTCTCTTTCCGTTCCATTCTTGCAGGGAATCAGTCATAGTTTAGCAAGCTATTTGTTCAAAGAATTGATTGAAGCTCAGATTATATGAAAACAATTTTTAATAAGAATAAACATGAAATTATTCTCAAGTAATTCAAAAACTATACCTGAAAAGGAGTCGCATCATCGATTTAGCAATTGAATTGCTTCCAATTATGCATGTTAATCGCTAAGTAGTAACTATTCACTTTTTTTGTTCGTTGAACCAGGGAGATTTGAATCGTTGACTAATCTTGTTGGCACTAAAAGTTGTATATTGATCCATTTTCGAATAAATAAATTTAATTGATTTTTTATTAGATTTTTTTTAGATAATTACATTTTACACAGCACAAATACGTAATAAATCTATGTTTTCGCACTACGTTGTCTCCTATACAAATATAACATACAATATTTTCAGTACACATTTGAACGTATTATTTACAGAAAAAACAAGTAAATACATATTTATCAATACAACAATATATCTCGTTGGGTATCTATATATATATATACTACATGTCCTCTTTTAAATATTCTACGAGCTCACCAATATCATCATAACATGTTCGGAAAAGGGTATCAAAAAATGCATCGTGTGTTTGAGAAAAAGGTACTTCACTTCTTTCTACATTGAACGGCTCGTTAAAAGAAATAGGTGAATACACATTTGACCATTGATTAGTATTTTGCTGACAATTTCTCTCGTCGACGTCTAAATTCATGATGTATTCTTCGTTTTGTATATTATTCAAGAGTTCGGGAACATCAGATTTTTCTTCTTTGACAAAAATAACATCATTTGTAGCCGAATGTTTTTCTTCAATGAAAATAACATCATCCGTGGTCTTTTCCTTTTCTTTTTCATCCGTAGAATCGGATTGATTGTTTCGACCACAATGCATACAGACAGTATTCGAATGATTGACGTATTGCATTTGTGGAACGGGAATCTGTATAACAATCGTCGAAATTGGTGCAACCATTGAAACTGGTACGTACATCTACAATTGAAATATATAGGTGAATGAAAAACGACTTGAATAACAATACTTGTTGGTCATTGTTGAATACTACGTTTGTTGCCATTCTCAAAATTCACTGCGAATGATTGAAATGAAACCGATGAAAAGTTTTGATAGCTTTTTCGAATTGACTTGACAGAATAATGCTGTGCGTTGAGACGGTGCGATAGAATTTTTCGAATGTAGTGTTGTACGCTGTAAACGCTCTCCTTTTATACTCTTAGATGAGCGATGAATCATGATGAATCATGACTTTCGAATGCTATTGAGTAATCCATATCTTCCGACAAACCTTCTGTTCTTGGTAAGTTCCGGCTGTTTATCTTTACCTGTTTGAACTTACAGACCACTATCTTCAAAAAAGACTTTATCTAGTCGCTTGTTTCTTATGCTAGTATCTACTTCAAAACCGGATTTCCGGACGCATCCTTTCCGATATTCTTTGATGTGATTGATAAATTCTCTTTTAATGTTCGGATTCAATTCAGATCGAACTATCTTAAATAGTTTTTTCCAATCTCAGCAAATCCTATGTTGCCCTCTCCATGGTACTTTAATTTAATCTCAACACCATCAATCAACAAAATATCTATTTTGCCATCGTATTTTTCAAAATGAAGCCCTTTAAATAAAATTTCTCAATAAATGATCGATTTTCCTTGAAATTAAACTCTGCTTTATTCAAACATCATGATGTATAAGTCTCATGGGAATATTTCCTCAACCAACACTTCCCTTCTCATCTTATACTCAATGGAACTTTCTGATCATCGACTAGTTCGTCTGATTCATTTCAATTTTCTACAAAGATAAACAATACTGACCACATGAGTTATATGTCATTGCCGAACCATGTGGTTAGAAAAAATGAAAACGTATTTTGAAAAGGAAATCATGATCATGATCTGCATAAAAAAGAAAGGGCTGGATTCTCTTTTTTTTAAACAAAAAACTGACTACCTTTCTCATATTCATATTCTTCTTTTTTTTCAAAGAAGAACACGTTGAGTCATGTTTAAACATTCTTCAAACTGCAGATAGTCAGAAATATATGAACGTCTTTTGCAAAAGAATTTCAACCCACCATCTTTTCCACAAACATCGCCCGAGAGATGATCTTTCAATGCCACTCGGATAACGTATTTTTACTGTTTATTCTTTAGAAATCTTCCATTTAATATAAACAAGGAAATATATATCCTTACAAAAAAATGTAAAAGTTTGAGCAAGAATTGTCAATCAATTACACAGAACAAGTTCAGACATGATAAAAAAAATTGGAGTTGTTTTGTATTTTCTCAGTGCATCGACTGACTTTTTATTCACATATTCATCATTCTCTCCTGCTTCATACGAGATGCATACTTGATAAAATTGATTCCATTCGATTGCAAATATTTGTGATGATAACAACAGTTGAGAAAAATCAATTAGAACAATCTTTTTCAAACAAGAAAGTCAAAAAATTGAACAAACTACATCGAATTATTTTTATCCTAGCTGAAATATTTACTTTTAACGACTTGTCTTAGTGAAACTCCAGTAATAACACTTATACGTCGACTTTTATCATGTTAATTGTAAAGATCCATTACAGATTTAATCATGCGATAGTATGAGAAGGTTTCATTATCTTCTGTTTGAACGGCAATCAATAGATAATGCTATGTGGAATAAGTGTTTGTGTGTACTATATTCTGATAGTTGATCGTTGCTAATTCTCATTCATATTTCAAATTGAGTGTGATAAGAAATAGATTTACAAGCTTGTTAAACGTGAGACGAAATCCTTTTCAAGAACTTACTTTACTAGAAGGGTGATCGTATTTTCGATTTCTTTTCCTCCAACCTTTCGAAACAATTTCAATCAATCGATACAATACATGTCGAGGTTAGCACGCCGACAAAAAAGGAATATTCCCATATTCAAAGTTATTTATAGAAACTGTTTGCTTTGGAATTGATACGCATAATGAATCATTTTATCAAAACTTCCGAAAATATTCAAACTGAAAAACAATTTTCGTTTAAATACAGAGCGAAAATAGAAGAAGTTTGATATGATTGTGAAATTGATGAAGATAATTGTATTTTTGTATTTGAAATTATCAAAAAGGATATCAAAAGTGATTTTTCTTTTCCCTTACATTTTCTCACGATTCGTCTCTTCTACTTGAACAAACATCTTCTCTATACCGTCTTATCTTTCACAGAAATATTCTGATCCATTCAATTGATAGTTGTATCACGCAAGGGTAAGACATTCGACAACATTGAACATCATACTTTACACACATCCCATATTAAAAAATTCAGGTATATAAACAAATCGTTTTTTCGATAGAGATCATNTTTTTCTTTTCCCTTACATTTTCTCACGATTCGTCTCTTCTACTTGAACAAACATCTTCTCTATACCGTCTTATCTTTCACAGAAATATTCTGATCCATTCAATTGATAGTTGTATCACGCAAGGGTAAGACATTCGACAACATTGAACATCATACTTTACACACATCCCATATTAAAAAATTCAGGTATATAAACAAATCGTTTTTTCGATAGAGATCATACTTTGGTTATGCATTATGAAAGTGCTTAACAGTAAACAAGAATGATACGATCATTTCTTTTCGATTTATTGATTTTTTTCAACATCTACGTTCTTTTTCGTCTATTCCGTCATTCATAAATTAAACGACTACTGACTAAAGACACCTTCTTTCACTTGAACGCAGAGTAGTCCCGTTGCAAATTTTATCGACGTGTTGCTATAGATCCATACTTGAATTTCTAATATATTCAACCACTCATTAAGCAAACGCATCTATGATATTCCATAAAATTCTATTAAGAGGCATCACAACTAAATGTTGTTCTTTTATCAAATCAGTACGATCGATTGAATTTTCCTTGAGTTCCTAAAAGTCATATTTCCTTATGAGAAATTTCGTGTCCTCTCATCACGAAGTTTATTGAGATAAGAGGAGTATAAAAAGAAAAGGATAGCAGAAAAACAGTTATAAACCATTTGAGTTATTTGTGTCGATAAAGCAACAAAAATAGCATAAAAACAGGATTTTGCTCGAATTAAGATATGACTTATTAGCGCATTCTCGTCATTCAATATGATTTTCGCTACGTGCATATATATAAGTTATTATTTTACTTATATGTCATGTCATTCTTTGCGTGAAAATCAACTCGTACAAGATTTTCTTTGATCCGAAAGTACACAATCGATCTCACAAAAATAATCGCAAAAAGTAATTGTGCTGAAAATTTCCTAGAAAAGCTTTTAAAATTTCTTTCCGCGCTCTCAAATATCGACCAGAAAATGTTGAAACTTTCGTTTCATCGATTATTTTACACTTATAACGCATAGTCAGAATTTTTCGGCGACATTCATAAGAAAATGCTCGACTGAGTTTTAGACTATCTTTTGATTTACGTAGAATTTAGATTATTTTTGATACATCGCACAAAAAGCAAATCTCGATTGAGACGTCATTGCTATTGTCGACTCACTATCCGAGCTCACTTTCAAACGAAACTCATCTGGTGAGGACGTTTGATTTTACTTCATTCCTTTCAAAGTTGAGACATGATCAAACAGAAGCTATTGTGAAGATTGACAGAGATTGAACTTTTGTTGTTCTTTAAAATAAAAAGTGGTTTTTACCATGTAATTCATTTA